ACACCGAACGTAATATTTATCAGATTACTTTATACTACTTGTGAGTAGTTCAACTTGTGTAATGAAATAACTACAGTAAAGTCGGTTGAACACAGACTAATTAGGAAAATGAACCAAAATATTGACTTCATAATTACTTGGTTGTTAAAACAGATGTCATTCAGTTGTGAAAAGTACTAAAACCAATCAGTTTCCTATAATTTATTGAGTTAAATACGAACACCCGATATGTTTGTGACTGACTGAGTGGAATTTCTTAAATATTTAATCGTACAGAAATGTCCCTTAGATAACCATAGTTAAGCGTTGTAATTAGGCAGCCATCATGAAGTTGGGTCAGAATAAAGCTGTATCACAAAAGGACGGAATTTTTAGTGTCTAAACACAAGCTGACCCTCTTACCTCTAGGTGGGGGCCTGAAGTTATGCAGTTTTCTTGGTTTAACAATGTTTTACATAGTTTCAAATAAGTCTTTTGGCGCTTCCTACCATCAGGCCATCCAGTGGACTGTCTCTAATCACTTAACAAGATAGTGAACTGAACTACGATGGCTACTTGTCAACCTTGGTGACCAAACTTTAAAATTAACTTATAGAATTAAACCAGCGTCTGCACTAAGGGCTTGGTAAATGATACATTATTTCCAAGTGACCAGTTAATGTATCTGTTGCAGTCACTGGTGGAGCAGAATAACCCAAAAGCGACGTCTCTAAATGCAGCTCTGAATAATGAGGGATTACTGCAGAGATAAATATTATTATTTAATTCGCTAGGTTTCCGCGGGGAATGTAGGGTATCAACAACACATCTCTGATTTCTCCTGTTCTCTGCAGTCCTATTTAGTTGGCTCCATTGTTTCCTATGAGCATTAATCTGCTTTCCGCACGATCACCTCTGTTTCACCCTCGGAACTATGCCAAACTCGTCTTTCCTTATTCAGGTTTCACTGGAATTGAGAAGCGGGTCGTTGATTGGTTTGTCCCTAGAGTTCCGTGTTCCTAATTCTTTCTGGCCGGCAAAAGTTGAGAAGAGTCTACAGCCTGTTCAAAATGGTTTCCATGATATAAAAGGTCCTCGAACCATACAAAATAACTGGCCTAACATCGGTATTGGAAATTCGAAGTTTATTCTTTATGTATATTTTTATTCCTTCACGTTCCCAGAGCTTCCAGCAATAGCCCTGAAGTCTCGGTAGAGGTGTTTTTTTACGGGATGTCAGCCCGTGCCTAACCTCCCCTCTTCACTAGTCTTAATACTGGCTTATCGAGGCAAAGGAATGCGTGGGCCAGGGACCGAATCCCGTAGCATCTGCGTGGTTGGCGGGCACTCTATCGCTATGCCACCAACGCTTTATGCTTAGGGCAGTAGATTCTCAAACTGATTTCAGAGTGATGAAAGTTACCCCTGCCTTTCTAATCCTGATTTTGATATCCTTATGCGTGCACAAATATATATATATATATATATGGCTTTTATTTATTGCTGCATATGAGGGTAAACGGTACTATTTTAATCACTTTATTTAGTACTGAACAGGAAGGAAGCTGTTTGTTCAGATTTATCGGTATAATCTATTAAATTTTTTTAAACCTCCTATTACAAAAACATTTTATTAGTCATAGGAAAAGCATTAAAATGTTAGCCGTGAAACATGTGTCATTTATACCTGAAACATAACATCCATGTTTACTGTAAAAATACCATTTCATGCGAAAGAGACAAATGAAAAGGATATGCCTCCTTTTTAAATCTAAACTAATAAACACTGTGTTGTAGCGATGGAGCAGTGATGTGCAGAGAGAGAAAGGATAGTGGCAGTTAACTGTTAAGTTATCCTAATTTCGTTTGTCATCTGATAGACTCTGACCAGCGTTAGATGAGTGACTTCCTTTTGAAGATAAACTACCTGTTTAACAAAAAAATCATTTCTATTCGAATTTAAAAAAAAATCTAATTAACTTTCGTTACTACAGAAGTTGTGTAAACTTGAGTGTAAGCAACCATGCATACACACACAGACAACTGTTTTTTGTTTTCGAAAAACGGAATTTTTTCATTAGGCAGCATGGAAAAAATTAACATCCTCTTTGATTAAAAATTATTTGTCAACAGGAAAGAGGAGCATCTACGACTATATGTTACTTATATCAAACAAAAGTAATTATGAATTTCGAGCATTGGAAATAAGACCATTACTGACTTATTGGTGACTGGCTTCTGGGGTCGAATTCTTTGGGCCCAAACGAGAAGTTAGTACATGTATATTATTACTGTTCCCTTGGGTTCCGATAAGAAAATACAGCTTCAATAGCTCGACTCAATTTCGCCCCTTTCTCTGCATTTCTCTTCCTCTTACCCCACAATTACCAAAAGGTTTCATCCCCTCTTCAAACGATCTCCTTCAATATCAAACATGTCGTTTCCCATTCAAGTTACATTAGGTGGACTAGCCACTGATGTCATCCAACGGTCTTCTAGGCGTGTGAGCAGTCCATGTCTATTTTCTTCGTTGTATTTGTTAAGCAATTGGTTTTTGATTAGTTCGTTCGCAGATTTTTGTCTTCCTTATTCTTTCTGGCTGACCATCTCGCCTTTGTTATGCAGCCACCGAAGGCAGCGGTTGATAAAATTCTGCCTGTTAAAAATGCTTTTCATGACGTGTGATGTATAGGAAGTGATTGACAAAACATTAATGTTGAAAATTTGAATTTTATTCTTTGTAATGCTGGGTGCAGAAGATTTCCAGACTGATTTCAGAGTGATGAAGGCGTGCCTTACCTTTTCGAATTTGGTTTGAATAGCCTTATTCTTTCAGGGGCCTGTATTTGAAGAGACACTTTCTAGATAAGTGAGCGAAGTGATCTCGTTCAAATTTATTCCCATCAGGGTTCAAAAAAGTGAAGGTGAAGAAAGATACTCAACAGTGACATTGGCAGTTGAAATATACCGGAAACGATTGAGTTCACAAGACATTAGGTTCGTAACCCAGTCACTATACAGTGATGTATTTGCCACGTAACCTGAATGACTTGGGTTTATATCTGTGGTCCATACTGTTGAACAATCCTAATCTAGAGTAGAACCTATTTTCAGCGCTACTTATTTTTTGATAGTTATTTAAATTGCGTTCGCTCGTGACGAAATCTCCTCTAGTTATTGTTTCTCATCAATAAAACAGTAGTTCTTTAAAAGATTCGAAAACTCTTAAATCTCAGTAACAAATTAGTGTTTTTATCTGGAAGTCAACTGAATTGATAATTTATGTGACTTTGAATGAGAGACGAATACGTATGAACAATCCGAGTGAGAAGTATATTGTGCAGACAGTTAAGATAATCTGAGAGAAGAAAATTTTTTTAAAAATATTTCAACAGAATGTTCTGTGAATAGAGATCTGCTAAGTAGGAAGGACCGTCAGCTTCAATTTGCAAAGTGTTAAAGCACACGATGCGCAAGTCTTAATTAAATTCTTTCCAATGAAATACGAACACAGTCCAGATTTCAAAATCTTAGGAAGCAGGAATAGGTAATGATGGAGTTAACAACTTTGTGTGTTTAGCACTCAGTATGCTTATCCAGTCATATGACTTGTCATCGCAATGCATTCTAAAATCCCCTAGGATATCTGAACACCTGTCATTTGGCGCTGCTGGTGGAGAAGTAACTACGGTTTCAGTAAGACCAACAACACACTCTAGTGCAGTTACATGCGTCTCACAAAACTTGAATAGAATGAAGGCAGAGTATCACATTCCAAGACTGAATGAATGCATCTTTTTTATCGTCTGCCATTCACTGAAAAGTATTCATTGTATTATGTTCATCCATTAAACATTCAAACCAATCAGTTGACAGGAGAATTAGTGGCAACACAGCTTCAAGTAGACATAGGAAAGACAGAGGTGATGAATTCACTCGACCAACAGCACCAGACAACACTCATCACCAATGAGAGAAGTCTCTACACTCACCTAAGCGGCATCATTCCACCTATAGAAGGAATAGGATAGGATGGCAGCCTGGATGGGAAAACAAGTCGAGCTGTCGCTATTCTCAAATTACTGTGGACAGAACAACGAATAAGATATGAGTTTCCCAACACCAGTATCAAATCAGTGACTGCTTTTGTTTTATTCAGAGATTTGGAGCACTATTACGATTTTTTGAAAGTTACTAAGATTATTGAAAACGTAATAACTCTAAACACTTCACGTTTATTGGCAGTACACTACGTGGTTTCATCAAACTCAGCCTTTTAATAAATGGGTTAGTTGGTTGAGAACGCAAAGAATATTAGTTTTATTCCTTTGTGTAAGTTTTATCTCGGTGTCTTTCGTTAGTGACTAGTAACCGGACGAACTTTCCCAGAGTTCTAATGATAAGTCGTGACCAGTAGAGTACAGTCTATCGGGAGAGGGTACGAGCACTCGCCACCGATGACACTGGTTGGTACTAGTCACTCTAAAATCACAAAAAGGTAGAAGTTAGAACTCATCGGTTGACTACTGAGTCGGGTCTCAGTAGCTGAATTGTCTACGGGATTAACTTGTAACCGGAAGATCCTGGGTTCAAAGGAGTACTGACGATGAGTCCCAAATTAGGACGAATTAGTTGTTCAATATCTCCTGATTTTCTGTGGTTTTCTAATTGATATCGATCCGTGGTCAAACGGGAATCGTATTCTCGTATTTAATACTTCTCTTCTATCTCAATGTAAACTTCACTGATGGATTGTCAAGTCACTTCACTTTCCCATAACCTTCTATTATATATTACTTCAACCGGTATATGCAAGAAGAATAGTGTTAAAAGAATAGTGTTAATCAAAGAAATCTAACTTCCAAAGGGGATGATACGTATCTTTATACTTTTGTAGTTTTGTTTCAATATATTCATTATGAAATTCTATTTTTCTCTCTCTCTCTTAATTTTCATACAAATCATGATCATGTTCATCATCATAATCACCGTGCAAAACGATCACAATTAATGAACTTCAGCTACTCAATCGAAGATAGAATTATGCGGCAGTGCTAATTTATGCCTTTATGGTGGGATATGTTATGATCCACTCACTTATTATGCATCATCTACGACAAGAATTACACCGAAGAGAATAATGTCAAAGTTTTCCAATTGTATCTGTGACGGTATTAATTGTTTAAATGAATGGCCTGATCCAGTATGCGCAGATGACGGTGAAACATATACTAATCAATGCTTTTTAAAGCGTGCAATCTGCGAAACACAAAAAATGAAGCGTATATTATATCGAGGAAATTGTGGTAAGATATTTATTATCTTCGTGAATGTTTTTTTTACTGTTATTGCTGAAATCAGTTATCGAGGAAAGAGTTGCTTTTTTCTTTTAGAGGGAAAAAGCTATACAGCATACGAGAGTTTGTGTTGAATAATTTAATCCTGTCTGTCACTTTCTGTGTCATTTTTTCCCATGAGGAAGTCGACTCCCATTCATCACTCTGATGATCGATTTAAAATACATTCTACCTATCCCACTTATATTTAAACCTTTGTTCGGACTAGTTATTTTTGAATTTACCTGTTATTGATATGACCTACCTCGGGCATTCGTGGAGTAGGCACTCGATACTGATTGTACCGTTTATTGGTTTATTCGGATATCACTGGCCTTAGTTGGTCCATGTCAGTTACTTAGTTCCCCCATAGGAGAGCCACAGTTGAGGGTTTTATTTATCATTACCACTCTGCTCTAGGTTCTAGGTAAACAGGGGAAATCAATCGACGAAGTCGTGAAGCTACAAAGACTGAGATGGTTAGGACATGTGTTACGTATGCCAAGCCATCGCCTCCCTCGACGAGCAATGTTAGCGGATATAGGGTCAGGCTGGAAAAAAGCTAGCGGCGGTCAAACAAAAACTTGGCATCAGTCAATGAAATCCACAACAGTTGGTCTAAGCCACGTAGAAAGGTGTAGACTTCCAGGCTGGGGTCCTCGGGACGGTAAAAATCTATGGTTGGAAACAATTGGTGACATGGCTCAAAATCGTTCTCAGTGGCCAGCGCAGATGCATCCACTCCCTGTGACTTATGATCTTCAATGAAACTGTTTTGTATTTCTTTATTACTCCTTTGTCTCACACCTCTGCTCACTGTTTCTATTATGCTTTTCTTGTACTTTCTTCTCTTGCTTCGCGTGCTACACGGAATGTGGCGACTTGAACTTCCGCACATTTGTGCAAAGTTCTATGTCGAAAACAGACAGACAGACAGACTCTGCTCATAGTACTATCAGTCGTAAAACAACGAGGTAGTTCGCTGCGGGCTTCTGGACTTTTGGAGGCCTCGATAACAATGTTTTTGCATTGCCGTTTTAACTGGTATACTTCTTGTGGTCTTCAGTGGTGCGGCCTGTTCAGTGGCTCTCTACGTCATATCAGTTCATGATGTAACTTAAAATCTGTCAAATCTCTGTAAATCCACACTAGCAGATTTTTTGAAATAATGTTTTGGTGATAATGGTATCCAAAACGTGCCTTTTGTTTCGTTCAAATACACCTGAGTGTAGCTTGAAAATCCCCATTGAGTCATATGAAAAAGAGAAGACGTTCAGCGAATTCATTCACATAGCTGTACAATCGCATTTATATATAATTATTTGTGTGTGTACATGAGGTTTGTCAAGTTTAGATAATTGATCAGGTAATAAAAGAATGATCTAATATAGAAACAAGGTTAACTGGACAGCAACTAAAGTAAGATTGAGTTAGTAAGTTAGATGACGTAATATAACTGACTAAAATGTTTCAACTTAGGTCAGGCTATCAACAGAGATTATTACAGGTAGAGACTAAGTAAAAGTGGGGTAGATAATAATGCCATTTTAATTAGAACTGAAATTGAGCGAATAAGTTGGATGACGTAACATAAATGACTAGACATTGACCGATGGTCAAGTTAGTAACAGTGGTGTCGAGGTGTAGAAATTAAATTGGGTGGGGGGCAGAGAACAAGAATGTTGAAAATGCAAAATATTACAATTGAGAAGACAAAACAATACGAATGAAGACTCAGACAAAAAAGATGGCGCAAAAATTTTACTTGTCGGGTAATAACATAGATTACGTCCATTGCAAGTGTAGTGATTGAACGAACTTCTGTATGCAGAATTCAGGGCTTAGCAAGTGGATCGCCATTGCTTCTGCAGTTTGAAGAAGTCTGACTCGTACACCTTTAGGAAGACTGTTTCTTACTCTGTAGACGACTTTGAAGTCTGTTTGGGGTGCAGCTTGGTGTCCGGATTCTATCAGATGTTCTAAGATGGAGCTGCGGGGACATCGTTTTTCTCCTTTGTAAAACCATGTTGGTAAGTGTTCGGTGGTACGTTTGGAAGGCGAACGCTTAGTCTCTACCTGTAATTACCTCTGTTGCTACCCTGACCTAAAATGAAACATTTTAGTCAATTATATAACGTCATCTAACTTACTAACTCAATCTTACTTTAGTTGCTGTCCAATTAACCTTGTTTCTATATTAGATCATTCTTTTATTATCTGATCAATTATCTAAACTTGACAAACCTCATGTCCACACACAAATAATTATACATAAATGCGATTGTACAGCTATGTGAATGAATTCGCTGAACGTCTTCTCTTTTACATCTGAGTGTGAGAGGTCACAAACATGATTGAAAAGTCACTCTAGGTTCCACTTTTATTTCCTATGACCCATATAAAACAGCATGTTAGCCACTTCCGATCGTAATTCTTCAGTTCTTATTGACGTTTAATGACTCTGTTTGAGGCTTATCATCTACGCTGCGTAACGTGAAACATACTGAATGTCTCAGCTTATGAAGATTTCAAAAGAGTTTAGTCAATCTGTTCATTTTCTAAAAGCATATGAAGTGTTGTGTACTATGAACAAAACAGTATTAACTAAATTGTACTGACGTTTTGAGTACACTGTATCAATTAGCTTTTGTAAAAAGATAATAAAATTAAACAGCTTCAATCAATCCATAGGTAATATGGGAGTTAAATTAAAATTAAAGTTTCTGTAGCGATTGGACGAATTTTTTCGGAGTAGGGTCACCATTATTTTTACGTCTACTATTCATGGGAGATACCCCTGCGGAGATTCTATCTCAGTGTTTAAACAAGGCAATAAGGATGACTTTCGACACGTTTCATAAGCTCCTGTCCTTCAGTAGGCTCCCAGCATTCACCGAGAAACTGAAAGACGTCTTACCTAACCTTAGCTCTTCCTCATGCACACACCCTTCACACAGTCCCTGTGGTTCAACTCATACAGGGCGTGCGACTAAGCAGGTTCATCCACAGATTGGAGAACATTTACCAGCCTGGTTCAGAAATTGGGGAATCAAATGCATAAAAAGTTGAATACTGTCATACTTGGTCGGTACTGGACATCACATCAACGTTAACATGGCCTTCGGGGTTATATACCAAAGACTGGAGTCGCTGTCCTGCACGGCTCGCTCACGTCTTCTACACATAGCTGAAGCTGCTGCAGTCAGGTCGAATTAACTGGAACTTTGTATTCAAAAAGTTCACTTTGAGGAGATGTCTCTACCGTGAGCAAACTTTCATTAAAATTTCTTCTTCCCTCCAAGAGTGTTTCTTCTGTTTATCCCTTTCTTCACTGCTTCTCTGCTTTTTTAATAATAGTTATTCTTCGTTATTATATGTACCCTTCATTCGAACATTCTTTCAATTCTATCGAATCTTCCACTTTTACTATTTGAACTAATGATTAGTGACATCATCTCTTTTCTCAATATATATACCTCCACCTGCTTCATTTCACTTATTGGTTATTCCATGATGAACTATTAACCTCAGCCTTACTATCTCCTCTTTAATGCATACTGTTCTGACCTAACCACTTGCTCACCTGAAACCTTTTACCATTTTGAACTGACTTGTCAATTTTTCTTCCCTACGTTGTATGGAATTATTGTGACTACTTCCCACCATCGTCCCTAACTTCACAATATTTTTTTGTAATTGAATACAGCCTAGCACCTTTGTCATACAAGTGCTACTTATTTTGTCACCCGACAACTAATATATTATTTCACGTACAAATGTGTCCGCCACATAACCGGTCATTATTTTAACCTGAAGAGGAGGATTTAATGGGAGTAATTCAAAGGCGTTCACTAATGTTTTCACGGAAACTGTCGTGATTGATGTAATAAACACTTGACATTAAATCTCCTAGCGATGAGTAAAGCCCCCTTTTTATGATTTGATAGTAATAAGTGCAATAAAATATAACTGCATTCACTATTCAGGATTCTGTAGCCACACTGTTCCAACTTTCAGTAAGTGTTAACCAGGGCCTGTGTTTGACGTGTACTTAGAATAAGAGGGCAAGAGCATCACTACATAAGTGATGTACATAAGAGATAAAGCCAGTCGGCTTCATTTCCTACTATCATTTTGCAATTTTTAAGCCGGCATAGAACCTCTACAATGCGTATAACCTTGTGCGGTGGTGAATAATCGTTGTTAGCATTGGAGCTCAGCTTGAATGAGATTGTAACGAATGTCTTCAGTAAGTTGATATGACGAGTTCCAGTTCCATTTTAAACAATATTAGTTTTGTGGTTGTTTTTTTTATTCAGCAACATTAAAACTGATAATCTTGTTTGTGAACGCCACTATCACCATCTTAAAATTTTGTATTATGCAGGATTACTCACACTACCACTACAAACACTGCATTAGTGCTGACAATAAAAAAAACACAACCTGAAATGTTTATTTTATGATTGTTTAGTATAGTTCAATCAAATTGACTGATCATCTTGGCTATAAACATTCTTAAGAACATTTCATAACTTCTTGTATGATTATAGCTGTTACTGTTCACCACGCATACACATAGCTTCATAGCTTCCACTACCCAATACTGAAATATTTTCCACTATTGGTGTTTATCTTTCTTTCTACTTGGTATTTCTTATTTGCATTTTTTTGTTATTTCTGTGTTTCTTTTTTGGTTTTTTTGTTGTTTTTTTTATATTCATATTTTTTGTAATACTCCTTTTAAATGTTCGATGAAATTAGATGCAGTATTGTAGATATGTGCTGAAAATTCCACACTGTACCACAAGTACTGTTTTTGGAATAAAGGCGAAATTATTATTATTATTATTAAAATGTGTATTTTCAGGTATTGATTTTGTGGGGATTATTTTGGTTTGATTGCATGGGGGATTTCATCGCACTATGTCGTGCATTGGCAGGAATTAGAATTCAAGGATCATTGGATA